AATAAAAGATCTTCCACTCGACCCTCATCACTTTAAAATTTGCTACAGCTTGATAGTTTTTAGTAAATTTTATTACATCATTTTAAAAGATAATAGAATATTTCAAATACTTAGAAAAACAATAATTATAATTCTTCTAACTGTAATAAATAGTACATTTATTGAGTTTATTCGAAATAAATAAAATAGTCAATTTATTGCTTGTCTTATTATTTTGTTAGTCTATAAAGTTTTTTGTTTGTATTTTTTGTGCAAGTTAAGTTTTTGGTATTTGTCACTAATGTTTGAAACCTTTTTAGATGGCCAGTTGCTTTTACTATACCTATAATTTTATGCAGGCATTTTTAAGTTTAAACTAATAAAATTACTATTACTATGAATATCAGCAAACAGATAGTAAGCAAATATTAAAGTTTGTAAGAGTTTTCAATTGTGATATATAAAGATCTATTAATTATTATAATACAAAAATATATAATTTTTAAATAACAAGAATCAGTTTCATAGTTGTAGCTGCAATATGAGAATTTTTGATCTCAAATAGTTGCTTAGATTTACTGCTAGTATAACATTAATTAGTGGCATATTAAAGTTTTAGTTAATATTATTTGATTTTACCACTTTATCATACTATGTAAAATCTATTATGCAAATATTATCAATGTTTTTGTATATAAGTTATTAAGTTGAGGTTTGATTAAAGCAAATCAATTTATTTCCTTATTGTTAATAAATAATTAAAAAAAAAAAGATTGTTATGAAAATCAAAATGTATTAAAAACTTGATTAACTTTTATTTTGTAATATTGTAACTATTTTTTCTGCCATATTGCTGTAACTTTTGAATTTCTGTAACTTTTTATATTTTCATAACCTGTTGTATTGTCGTAACTATTGTTTTGCCATAACCTGTTGTATTGCTGTAATTTGTTGCAGTACTGTAACCTTTATATTGCTGTAACTGCAAATTTCAGTTATTATAGTCTACATCATTTTTACATTGACATAACTATTGAATTAAGGTTATAGCAAATATCAATTATTATGACCTATGTCATTATAGCACTTTTGATATAATAACACATCAAATGGACATAACCATATGTCTTCAAATGTCTGCATCTATATTGTAAAAACAAATTTATTTAAAAAATTATTTATTATATTTCTGATTTCAAATTTTTAATTTAATAAAGAAAAATCTGTTTAAGGTAAATTATTTAAATAATTATCAAAAGTTGCATGTATAATTAGTTGTACTTTTTTGTATAAAAGAAAAAAAAGTATTAATTTTATTTTTAAAAAAAGAACCAAGACTATAAAAACATTTATTATATTTTAGTTTAATATTAATTTTAAAAAAATATTAAATCTAAAAACATTAGTATATAAAAAAATAATATTACTAATTATTACTACTAATAATTTTTGTTAGTATCATATGAAATATAGAATTACATGATAAATTAGATGATCAATTACATCCTTTTTGCAAATATTTAAATAAACTAATATTGACTCTTGTTTCTTACTTCAGTATATTAAAATTTTAGTAATTACTAATTTCTAACAAAAGGATTCATAAAATCAAACTTTATACTTATTTTAAATAATATTTTTAGAGCTATTGACTTTTGTCTCTCATTATAGCATTAGATCTTTTGTCTTCTGTTAAGTTCATAATATGCTTATAGTTTTTATTATTTTATTGTATTAGTTACTGTTAATTCTAGCAAAAAAAAATAAAAGAAGAATCAAGACACTCTATTATATTACAACTTATTTTAAAATTTTTTAGCCTCTTCTCTTGTTATATCTTAAAAAACATGTTGGCAAATGGAAAAAAAGAAGCAATAATTAAGAAAATATTATCTAGTCTTATGGATTATAAATTCAAAAGTCTTTTTTCTAATACTATAGATTTTGAGTTTAAAACTGTTTTTAGTGCTATGAGTTCCAAGTTTTCTAATCTTATAAAATTAGGATTAACTGACTTTTTGAATTTTATAATGTCTGGTTTTGTAAATTCTGCATTACCTGGTCCTATAAATTCCAAATATAATAGTATTTTTTCTAATCCTATGAACTCTGAATTGTCTGATCTTGAGAATATTGAGTTGAACAATAATTTGCCTAGTCCTATAAGTTTTGTGTTAGATGATGATTTGCCTAATCTTAAGAACTTTATGTTGAATAATAATTTAACTGATTCTAAAAACTTTGTATTGAATAATAATTTGTCTGATTCTAAGAATTTTGAGTTAGACAATAATTTGCTTAAGAGTTCTGAATTTGCTAATAATCTATCTAGTTCTAAGAGTTCTGAGTTTCTTAATAATTTTTCTAGTTCTGAAGATTCTGGGTTTAAAGATAGTGCATATATTAATATTGATAACAATTAATTAATTCAACTTAATACAACTGAATTAATAGTATAAGTAGGTAATTCTTTTAATGATTAAGATGCTATACAATATGCAGTTGATGCATATTCAAAGTAACATGGTTTTGTTGTTATCAGTTTCACAAAGATCTCAATCTAGTTAATAGATCAATTATTCAATGCCATGATTATATTTATTTAAAATCTAATATGAAAAGACCAAAAAAAGTAAAGAACATTTATATATATTATGATGATGTTTTCATTAAAACTAATTGTCCATGGCTAGTTTATTTCTATTGTAATAAATATATAAATATTATAAATATTACCAGCATAGTAAATGGGCACAATCATGTATATGATCCAAACATTATAGATCTGGCTCTAAAATATTTCAATTTCTACAAACAATTTTTTTAAACAAAATTAAAAACTATACTATTGTTAGTCAGCTAAGTGCTAGGCAACAATATGACCTTCTTACAAAAAATTTCCTTAATATCAAATAAAAAAAAAACCTATTAATAAATTTTGAGATATATAAATTCATAATGAATCTGATACTTTTACAATATTGTTATATCTTCTTAATTTAAAAAAACAAGATCAAGAATATATAGTTGTTTCATGTATAAAGAGTAAATCTAATAAATTAACAGGCTTATTCTGAATGAATAGTTAGTAAAGAAACCAACTCTGGCTTATGTTTTATGATATTATTTATAACAACACAGCCAAACTGAATTAGTATAAAATAGTTCTTAGTCTATTTATTAGAATTGATAATAACTTCAAATTACAAATTCTTGCTCAAGCCCTAATAAAATATAAAATGAAAGTTAATTGTAATTGGATATTGCAATGTATTTTGGAAACAACCAATAACCTGATTTTTTTGGTTTTTTTTACTTGAAGACCCTGCAATAATTGTGGCTATTTAAGCTGTATTTCTACAAACAAAACATTTATTATATATTTATTATATTAATAAAAATATTAAAAAAAAGTCAAGGGTGTGGTGACCTAGTGAAGTGGTCAGGTTGTCAACCCTCCAAGTGGTAGGTTGGATGTTCAAATCTCATCGATAGTGAAAATTTGAATAATCACCTATGTAATATTTGTATTATGGCAACTGTTACTAACAATTGGGTTAGAATATTTGTAATAGTGGTCACACCAGCATAACTGGTAGGTTATGGGGCATTCATGTAACAGATCACATGACATTGTCCTTTGAAACAAGGTTGTAGTTACACAAAGAAATGCAAACTGACAATAGATGATGCAAACACTAGATAAGTCCTTGTGGCTGTGTAAATTTGTTAAAATTGGGTAACAAGAAGTCCATTTGGGAAGACCCGAGTAGAGAGATAGCCAGATCTTTGATGGCCCTACTGTAAAGGCTAGCCTTATAAAATGGATACCAAGGTTGAAGTAACCAGATGGGCAAAAACTTCTAGGTAGGGAGTACCATCAACCAGGCTACTGGATCGAGTTAAAGGAAAAGAATATTGGGCCAACCTAATATACTAATGGACTGGTCATAAGTCCTATTGGGTTATCTGAATTGGGAGTTTGATAAACTAGCAAAGGTATACTAAAGTATTTCGGATATGCTATGAAGTAGATGCTGAGGTTTGTATAAACTCTACAAGGGCATAGCGGTTTAATGATCAGCCCTGACTGCAAGTGTTGGTTCTGCTATAGTGATACCTAGGTTAGCTCTGAGGGGTTTACCTCAAGGATAAATTAGTCCTAAGGTTAAGACAATGATTTGGGCATCTGGGATAACTCAGTGATGTTAATACAGATTACAGATTCAGAGAGTTTAAAGTAAAACACTTAAGCAGGGGTGTTAGGTATGGCAATTGGTAGGAAACCTTTGGATGAACTCTTTAAATAGCTAATATAGAAAAGTTACATATGTAGCCAATTGTACACTCTCCTATAGTGGTTCATTGAACTACAATACTGATAAGTAATTAATAAAAGTCAAAAGACCAAAAAGGTTACCTTAATATCAAAAAAAAAAAAAAAGTCAAGTTGAAGTTATATAGTAATATGTTTAAAATTTTTATTGAAAATTTTTATTATATAAGAAATAGTTATACTCAAAAACAATTTGAATTAATGTATTAGCACATGTTTAAAAAGTATGAGCCTTGTTATTTCTATCTTGAAACAAAACTTTATTTATATTATAATTCTTGGACAAGATATGCTATTTTAAAAATATTTATAACTGATGCTAAATTAACACAGAAGGTAAAATCAATAAATGGTATTCTTAAAAAACATCTTAATTAAAATACTTTGTTAAAAGAGCTAGTAAAAACAATTAAACAAGAATTGAAAAAAAAGCCAGCTATAATCATATTAGAAACTATTATAGATCTAATCTATTGTCTAGCCTTCTATCTACTTATAACATCATTTTCAAAGAGATTGATTTAATATTAACAGATCACTTAATACTTATATCACTGTCACTTCAGCAAGCCTAAATAAATCAAGCACTATTATATCAGAAAATATTGCTTATAAATAAACAAGTAAGTATTAAATTAGAAATTTTATTTTTTGTCTTTAGTAATACAAATATAGAGATTTTAAAATTAAAAAAAATAAATTAAAAAAAAGTAAAAGAATTTATTTTTATTGAGTAATGCTAATAAATACTAAATTTATAGATAAGATTAAGAAATATGATGTTGAAACCAGTAGTATGATCAAACATCTATATGATGTTATCAGGTATATTAAATATTTAAATACAAGAAATTTGAAAGATTTCTCATATTGTAATAAATTTGACATCCAAGCCACATTATATTGTAATTCTTAAAAATTTAACTTTACTCTATACATGTATGCAAATAATAAACTTAAGAATATTATATTATCATCAATACTAAATTTTTATTTAATCTTTTAAAACTGTTTTTTATATAGGACTTTTTTATACATAATGGTTCAAATCAATCTCTTCTGAAATAAACAGTTATATTGTAATAGTACAAGAAATTAAAAGCTTTACATCTGTACTATTATACTATATTAATTAGATTTATTCTGTTAATATATATATCAAACATAAAGAAAAACATTAATAAAAAGCTCCAATTCAGTACTACAATATCAATAGCCAAAACTAGCATTCAAATTGCACTATCAGAAAGTATTACAGCAGAATTAATTAGAATTTTAACACAGTTTATAATAAGGTATTATTGCACTACTAGGTTGGGTATTGAAGAAACTCATAATGTAAAATATAAAATGCCAATAACTCTATTGTTGAAAGCAGATCTAATAGTTGACAACTATTAATTGAATTAGATTCTAATTGCAATCTTCTAATTCTAAATATTATAAGCCAAAAGGCTGTTCTTCAAAAAGATTAAAATTATTTATTAAAGAAAATAAAGAAAGTATTAAACAACATGAACAAAGAACATGTAGTTATTGTTTAATTAAAAGTTATAATATTTATGGATGTGCTCAATATAAAGCAAATTTAGTTAAGAATGATTAAAGTTAAAGCCAAACTTTGATTCTTGTTATATCTGCATATTTTAATATATAAATATTATAATATTTAATATAATTGGAAAAAATAATATATGCTTATTTACAATTTGTATTATTGAAATTGTTTTATTTATTGATTAATGTTCATATGATTCAAAAATTAGTAATAATTTATAAAATGTAGTAGACCTAATATGACAAATATGCTGTTCAAGAGTATAGATGATGTACTGGAATTTTATTAAAAAAAGCATCACAGGTAGATTGCCTAGTTGTGAATAAAAGCAAGCAATATAGGCAACTATGTTTTAATAAAATGCTACTTATTTTATTTGTAACTAAATGTGATCATCATAAGATATAACAAATAAAAATTAATTAATTAATTTTATATAATTAATTAATTTTATATAATTAATTAATTGGTTATTATTTGTTATATCTTATGATTGATTACATTTAGTTACAAATAAAAAAGCAATTTAATAAATCTGTATAGTTTGTAGATATCACATGATTTGATAATAATCACTAATAGTAATAAATAACAAACTCTATAAAAAAAATAAAAATAAAAATATTTATCTAATTTGTAATTTAATCATTAAAATAATAATTAAAAGAATTAGAAAATTATTTATATTCTTTAGATATAAGATAACTTATTTATTTTTATTTTTTTAATGTTAAAGTCTTTATCTTTGGGATATGACATTTTTATTCAGTATATAGAACATAGCATGTCACCAAAGGCTACCTTACATTGAAGGTTACAACTAATCACACATGCACTTTTTTGGTATCTAACACAGGTTAAACGAATGAATAAAGGGTGAATAATAGATAAATAACAGAAAAAAAAACTGCTATTATTCTACCCTATATCTGCCAAATAATGGTAGCATAACAGCAGCATAACAGCAGAATAATAGTAAAATAACAGGAGGTTTGTTAATATGAGTAACATAATAGTAACATAATAGCAAAATA